AATTTAGTGGAAAGTATTGCACACATTTAATGTTTGTACTCTATTCTTTTATTCGCTCATTTTTGTCTCTCGATTTTACAAATTCATTTCGATTAATAGGCAACTTAAAATGACCACAAAATTAAGGAATAACTTAATTAATTTAAGACAAGCAAGAAACTTTCTTTGATCTACAACTGTAGGTATAGTTGAAGGGATTCATGATGGTCGTCGATGTGGTCTTCTTCTTTATGTGCTTGTTTATTCCAAAAATCCTCTGTCAATCTCATTGCGTTGGCACCTGCTATTCTGGTAGACTTTTCCCAGAGCCTCAAGACATCTTCCATGGAAAACATCTCAAGGGATACTCTTACAACAACATCACCACTAATGATCCAGTCAAGTGCTACTCATCTTGTGTCCAAGATTGTCGTTGTAAGGCGTGTCAGATGAAAGATGCAAGATGTGAGTTGCTGGATGAGGACAAGACTTCCAAGGTTAATAACTTTGTAGATGAACCAGGATACGTGTACTTTGATCTCAAGCAGACAATGTACAATGCTGTAAGTATTGCACAAAATCTTTTTTGAATAGTTCCCCAAATGGTTTTAAAATCAATATAATCATTATCTGCAGTTTTCAGTAATTTTTCGATTGCTTTATAGTCTTCGTACTTGATGCCACCAGGTGTTCAGTGCTATAATGGCTGTTGTCGATCTCAGCCTTGTTTGAATGGAGGAACATGCATAGAGCACTGCGATTCACCAAAGGAAAAGTTCACTTGCAGCTGTAATTATAAATTTCATGGCAAAGTTTGCGAAACGAAAAAAATATATTCGTCYTGYAAAGATGTTGCTGTTCGGAAGGAACCCGGAATGCCTACGAAAGGTGTATATTTTATAAGAACTTCAGACTCGAAGATTATTAAAATCTTCTGTGAATTCAACTTCAACAGCAAACGATRCTGGGCTTTAATCGAGTCATTTTCCTTAAARAACAACTATCTATTCAAAGCGAAGCCGTTTTATGTTAACTATAGTGTAAATCAAGACAGAACTCCAAACGGGGAAGCCTACCGATTAAGCCTGAATGACATGCTGTACTTCCGATCCAAGGCCACCATCTTTAGAGCCACATGTGACATCCAAGTGGTGAATTCTGGTAAATCATCCTATATGCTTGGGGTGCTGAATGAAGTAGATATCTTGAAAAAGATATCCATCGACAATCAATGTAAAAGGTAAAAGTTAACATAGTTATTCGATTAGTTATTGGATAAGTGACGCGGCCATAACAATTAAAGTCGATTGATATCGTGCAGGGGCGGATTCAGCTGGTGGGTGCATACCCCCCCTGAGATCTGTATACTTCAATACTTTCCTTATAAATTTGCATTTTTGTGGAGTGCACCCCCCTCCTGAGAGATCCGCACCTCTCCCTGAGGAAAGTTCTGGATCCACTCCTGTTGTGCATTATTCAGAACATAACTTTATTTGTGTATAACATAATAATTAGAACACAAGGTTGACTGGACTACGAGTTGATAGGCTGAATGGACTATCAATTCTTAGTTCATGAGACGGAGTGTCTAATTTTTAGTCTTCTTTTGGATAAAAAAAGACCACAAAGAACTATTTTTCTCGACATTTTTCCATTATTAACGTTTCATTGCTATCATGAATATACCATAGTTCAATAGCCAATCAGAATGCTGCATTTGTAATGGTCCATAGTTTGATGGATATCAAATTATTGCCTTTATTAGCACGGTTTAATTTCATATCACTATACAGGTATAACTTCATTAAGATTGGTGAAAAGACATGTCAGAAGTGCACTGCACTCACAAGTTATGGAACAAGTGACCTCTGGCACTTTCATCTTGATGTTACCAAGGGCGTTTGCGACTTTAAACCTAATAATATTGCAAAGAATGCAGACAGTTT